CCTGCACACTGCTTTGTATGGCTCTGCATAGTAGAGCCATACAAAGCAGTGTGCTTACAGTTTAGAGCAAACACACAGCACACAGTACACAGTTAACCCCTTGATCACCCCAGATGTTAACCCCTTCCTGCCCAGTGTCATTAGTACAGTGTCAGTGTTTTTTTAATAGCACTGATCACTGTATTGGTGTCACTGGGGATGTCAGTGACAGTTAGTCAGTTCCACCCCAGTGTCAGAATGCCCGCCGCAGTCCCGCACTTACTGCACTTAGCACAGTTATTTTGTTTTTTTTATTTCAAGTACAACCATTGTGTAGAACTGAAAAGCAGGAAGCAGAGCCTGAGTGTGCACAGAGCAAATATGGCTGTCCCAGTGTATATATACAGTACATCAATACACACTGATAACATTATTTATATCAAGCTGATTTAAGTGCCAAACATTTCTAAAAAGTATTGAAAAGACTCTGCATTCCTTATTATTTTGTGATATTGCCAGCCACATTCAAAATGGGTTTTTCAATGTTGAAGATGTTTTATCACTGTATATGAACAGGAATAATTCAAACTTTAGACTAACTGAAACCATTAACTAGTATTAAGTTTGGGATAAACTGAGACTTATCTTGGATATCATTGTAGTGGGTCGTACACATTCACCGGCCACTTTATTGGGTACACCTGTTCAATTGCTTGGTAACACAAACTGCTAATCAACAAATCACATGGCAGTAACTCAATGCATTTAGGCATCTAGACGTGGTGAAGATGACCTGTTGAAGTTCAAAATGCATCCAAATGGGGAAGAAAGGGGATTTAAGTGACTTTGAACATGGCATGGTTGTTGGTGCCAGGTGGGCTGGTCTGGGTATTTCAAAAACTGCTGATCTACTGAGATTTTCACACACAACTTTCTCTAACGTTTACAGAGAAGGGTCCAATAATGATAAAATATCCAGTGACCAGCAGTTGTGTGGATGAAAATGCCTTGTTGATGTCAGAGGAGAATGGGCAGACTGGTTGCTGCGACATTAAGATGGTAGGGTCAGAGTTTGGTGTAAAGAACATGAAAGCATGGATCCACTGCCTTCTATCAATGGTTCAGGCTGGTGGTGGTGGTGTAATGGTGTGGGGGATATTTCCTTGGCACTAGCAAGGTGTACCTAATAAAGTGGCCGTGAGTGTACACTCTCCTGTTTTATATAATAAAGACTTAGACTAAATTTGGGTTTATTTCAAATGGGTCATATACACTCTCCTGTTTTATATAGCAAAGTGCTAACTATTGAAAAGGATAATTATTAGGAATAATGAAATCTTTCACTCCAAAAGGTGACTTGCGTTGGCCATGTTATTGGTGCAGTAGTCGCTGACACTCAGGAGCATGCACAACAGGCAGCAAAAGCTGTGAAGGTGACCTACGAAGAATTGGAGCCAATTATTACTATCCAGGTATATTAATTATGTCCCTTGCAAATTAAATTGCCAACTGGAATTAAACCACTCCTTGACTCATTGACCACTCCCACACATGTTATCAAGTTAATTGATTTTCTTTTCTAGACTTATATCTGAGGCATGACCTATGGAAATGCAGGCAGCACTGTATCCCTCTTCCCGAATACTTATACTTAATAATTTATTCTCAAATGATGACACACACACACAACATTTCTTTTTGGCATTAATGTTGGCTGCGGCACATCTATTGGTAATTACACATAACATAACTTAAATTTGCAATATAATTTATTCAAACATCTTACACTTTATTATCAACAATGAATAAAACTTGCTCAGTCTTTAAGGACTCGAGCTATACTGAAATAATTATATCAATAAGTCCCCCTTTTTGTATAGAAAAGGTGACACAAACCACATAAATTGTGCCTTGCGACAAGGGAGCAAGGGTCAGGAGACTTTTGGCTAACTCTGACCAACTGCAAAAATCTCTGCCTTTATATAATAAGCCCCCCAATATTCCAGAATGTTCCAAGGACACGTGGTTATCCAGCCTTTTCCATGGTCACGTGCTTAATTCCTGTCCCGCTTTTTCCTTATATGTATTTCTTAAAGGGCCCTAACCTAATTCCTACCTATTTCTGAGGATTTTTTTTTTTTTATATTAAAATATAGAGGGATGACGTCCGCATGCCCATGCTGTCGGGCTCCTATGTTAGAACCCTCATTTTTCATTCTTTCAGCAAGTTAATATACCGTCATAATAATTTCATTTCTTGCCTACTTATCATGTTTTGACAGCTGCAGATTGGCATTTCAGGGTGGAGGTACATATGGATGATAGGACCATTTGGTTATAGTAGATCTCTAGGCAAAACTCTTTTTGTTTTGAATAAAGTGATGAAAGGTTAGAACCTCTCTTAGGTTTTTATTGGTACTTTGTTGTTTATCAATGCCAGATACCTGGCACTTTTAGAACTAGTTCATATCAGCAGCATTGCCCAATGCAGTCCCACCACAAAGACAAGCCTTGTGCTGCATGGGCCTGTTCACACCAACACAGTGTGTTGCTGTGCATTGCAATAAAATGATGAAGGCATAATTTTATCATTTAGCATTACACTAACCTTTAGCCCTTGGACTGTCCTAACACCTGCCCCTTACCTGAACCTTAAAGCTTTTTGCTGTCTTCACATCTTAGCTTCATGGACCTAGTCTTCTTGCGACTTCCAGTAGTCTGGACCTACCTACAAATACTGGACAGAAAACCATTTGGGGATATCTTTCATATGGGTTTTTTTTCTTGTGGAGCAACATAGACACAGTATTTTTCCAAAATTGGGCTGAAGGTCCCAGCAAAAGGGTAGTACCTATTGTCTTTGCTCCTACCTGCTATCAAGTTTTCCAGATTTGAACCCATCTTATTTTTAAAGTCCAGGTGGCTCAATGATGTTCAATCTATACTACCTCTAGAACATTTTTCTCTTGCATCACCATAAAAACATTCTTTAAATATTTTCCATCTGTATCCAAATATTAAAATATCAAAATTAATTTTAGAAATATAGTGAGATTTCACTGGCCCATATTGTTTATTGTTTATGACTTTGTCATATTCAGTACTCTCATATGTAAAAAATTGCAAATTCATACATATAAACCAAAAGTTTGTGGACATCTGACCATCACGCCTCTTTGGACATTCCATTCCAAGACCATGGGCCTTATTGTGGTAGGTCCCACTTTGCAGCTTTAACAGTCTCTACTCTTCTGGGAAGGCTTTCCACAAAATTGTAGGACGTGTTCATGGGAATTTATGCCCATTCAGGCAAAAGAGCATTTGTGCAGTCAAAGGTGTTCAATAGGGTTGATGTCGGGGCTCTGTGCAGATCCCTCAACTCCTCCACATTAGACTCATCCACATGTGTTTTATGGAGCTGACTTAGTATACAATGGCACAGTTATGATGGAACAAAAAAGGGTCTTTCTCAAATTGTAGTCACAAGGTTTAATTAAGCAAACAATTGTCTAAAATGTCTTTGCATACTGAAACATTAACAGTAACGTTCTCTGGAAACCTGAACCTAATTATTTAGAGAGGTGCCCACATACTTTTGGCCATATTGTAGGTGTGTTGTTCAGGTGTTCACAAACCCCCCACAATCAGTGGTGTATTTAGGTTTTGTGCTGCCCTAGGCAACACAAAAATCATCTGCCCCCACAGACACCGACCAACACCTCTGCCCCCCACCTGGGAGTACCTTCCAATACCCCCTCCCCCCCAGCGATAGAGAGAAAGACACTCGTTTTCACAGCTCCAGACATCCCCGGGAATGAGAGTCAGGCTCTGCATACATCATCAAGCGACTCTCAGCCTCTTTTGGATCCCACCTGGTTCCCATGGCGCGTGTATCCCTTCGTTTAAGGGGAGGTGCTGCTCCCCTGAAAAATGCCACCCTAGGCAAGTGCCCTGTGTGCCTTGTGGTAAATACACCCCTGCTCACAATATAGTATATATAATGAGAAATCTGAATGCAACTGGTGAAACCATTTGAGCCACATCTGACCCTCTTAATGATGATCCATGGTCTATTACTCAGCCAATGCATAACGGTTTTGAGTACTCCACACAGATAGGGTCAGCAAACTGGAGCTTTATGGACAACAGAATGAACTTAAATAAAAAAAGAACAGTAAGCAGTTTTTGTAGACTGCAATTGAATCTCTAATGATTTGTGAATTATTTTGGAAAAAGGATTTGACAGATTTTGATGTGTTCTAGGGTTTTTCTGCATCATGAAACTCAGTCTCTTTATATAAGTCTCTTTTTTTCTGTCTGACTTCAGGAAGCTATAGACAAGCAATCATTTCATCCGCCTATCAAGAAGATAGAAAATGGGAATATTGAGAAAGGCTTCCAGGAGGCAGATCAAATCATTGAAGGTGAGACAAGCAGCAAGTTTTGCTGCATCTATATTGATGATGGTGAAGTTGCCCCCATTCCCCTCTTGTGGCTATACCAAGCTCTGCTCTTTTAGGAATACTTTTCTTACAGGGTGTGTCTCTGAGAATTTTTGGCTATTTATCCAAAAGAAAATTTCCAATTCATCCCAAAGATCTTTAATAAGATTGAGGTCAGGGCTCTATGCACTCACGTTTCTCCAAACCAAACTCATCAAACCATATCTATATGGAGCTGGCTTTGTGCACAGGGTAATAGTGATGCTGGAACAAAAAAGAGCCTTCCCCAAATTGTTACCACAAGACTTGAAGCACATAGTTGTCTAAAATGTATTTGTATGCTGTAGTATTAACAGTGCACCTCACTGGAAACACACAAAACTGAGTCCACTAATTTGAAGGGGTCTCCTCAAACCTTTGGCCATATAGTAGATGTGAAGGAAGTGGCTTTAACTGGCTGTGGAGGTGGAGGAGGCTAATCCAGAACAAAATGTTTGGCAGACACTTGAATAAGTGCACATGTTCATTTTTGCACACTATCAAAATAATTGATTTCCAATTGGCCTCTTTACAGGGGAGATGTATATTGGAGGACAGGAGCACTTCTACATGGAAACAAACTGTTGTATTGCGGTACCCAAGGGTGAGGATGGAGAGATGGAGCTCTTTGCCTCTACCCAGAATACCACTGAGACACAGGTACCCATTCTTCATCACAAGCATACCTGCAGGAGATCAAAGCTTTCTACCTTTATTGTTGCATCTCTGGTATATTTTTTATAATTGTTTGTAATTTTAAAGCTGTTTTTTTCCACTGATATGACAATCCAACAAAAGGTAAATGGCAGTAATCTCTATATTGTTTTCTGTCACCCACTGTGTCCTGTAAAGATGGAGCTGCTTACATGATTTGCACATTTTTACCACATTTCCCTCCAGTGCTTCTGGATTTATCCACAACTGACCAGACAAGGCTTTGCCCTTTTTGCCATGCTGCCCAAGGCTCAGGTCTATGAGTACTACATGGTAATTAAACTAAATGTGTTCTCTGCCCATGCTGGCTAAAGCAACATATTTACTTTAATGTAAGTACCCCCAGGGGCGGACTGACAACTCATGGGGCCCTTGGGCAATAGGGGATCAAGGGCCCATGTGTCCTTGGCCAAACTCAAAAAAGCCTATGAAAAGGTTACCAGGGGCATCTCATGGGGCCCCCTACTGACCCCAGGCCCTCGGGCAGTGCCCGAGTTTCCAAATGGTCAGTCCGCCCCTGAGCACCCCTCCTGCATAAAATCACTTTTCTTTTGTTCTCCCATTTTGAATGAAGGGTGACGAAATACCTGTAGCTGGTACTTCCAGGCATATTAGTTCATGTGACTCACAAGCTTTTGGTGCTTAGCAATTACTCCCTTAAGCACCAGCACCTTCACATGAGAGAGTTCCAGCACTGTGATTAGAAGTTTATAATGAGATGCTGGAGGGGGCTGCTTTAAAATAAACCTATTCCTTCGCCCTAGGCTCGGTACAATTTAAAAACCCACCAAGGCCGTAAAATAGAAAATAGCCATAACCCAGACGTAGTTAAAGCCGCAGTCTTGAGGGTAGGGATGTCTAATTTTCAGGGTCAGCATAATCAAATCAAACGCTCCTGCTGGCAAGTGGCCTTCTGAGATAGAGCCATCAACATAAATACTATACAACATATACTATTCAGTCAGGTAACTTTTTTTCTACCATTTTTTTTTAAAAGGCATTTGCTGCCCATGCTCTTGGGGTGCCATCAAATAGAATTGTGGTCCGTGTGAAAAGGATGGGAGGAGGATTCGGCGGAAAAGAGTCTAGAAGTGCTGTACTCTCCACAGTAGTAGCATTGGCTGCCCACAAGTAAGATGTAAATTATGCTTTCAGCAGTTTTAACAGATTTGGCCTTGGGTTATAAACCTCTAAAAAAAAATGTGACATATCTTACTCACTCAATAGCCACACCTGAAATAAGTGGTTCAATCCTTAACTAGCGCACAAGTGTCCCAAAACAACTCCTCAGCTGCCAGACCATATGATAGCACCCCATGATGAGTTCCAATGATATCAGTTCGAATAGTCTAGTGCTTTGAACATCCAGGAAACACTTCAATCCCCCAACAGGTAAGCATGTCCCAAATTATCTCCCAGACTCTTACAGATCAGCTACCAAAAATTAAAATGATGGGTCCAATAAAGCTTTATTCTCCAACCCTTTAGTGTCTTCTTTGTCTTTTTATCTCCTCTCGTGTGTAATACCTTCAATAACACTGATATTATTGTGCTCACACGTGTGTATAATTAACGTGCATGTAAAATCAACAGTGTCTTGTGACCTGTTCTTCCCTATTTTTACCAGAAAAACAAACTTTAGAGCTCATCTAATTTCTAATCAATTCTTCCTTCAAAACACCCTCAAGTCCTGGATCCTTCACTTGGCAATGTTTCCCAGGGAAAGAAATACTAAATAGTATAGTACATCCGAAACAGTATTCTTAAATTGTGCTCACATTAACCAATGCAAAAAAAGTGACCCAATTCATTCAGCTGAAGTGCACCAAACACCTTATCTGAACAACCCCTATGACACAGGGCTGTTGGGTGATCTCGCTTATAGCTCCATTGTTACTAAACTCACTTCTTTGGTGATGAAATGCTTAGCTCCCTGTAAACAGTTAACAAGCTGGACATCTAAAGAAGAAAAGAAAACTAATAGTGCAGAAAATCCCATCCAGATCACATTTATTAAAGCCAAAAAGCTCAAATAGGCAGGTAGTGTATTGTATCCAATAACTAAAATGGTGAAATGGGCACTTCCTGTTCCGGCGTGTCTCAAAATGCTAAAAATGTTTGTCCTTGTTTTCTAACTCCTCCCTGTAAATTAGTCATGTATACAGTATATAAATATAATATACAAGGATACATAATTTACCTTGTTGTAGAATAACAACCCATTGTTTTAATATGTTATATAAGCAAAAGTAATATTTTAGAATTTTTCCATTTTTTTTATAACTAATTGGTTAATTTGTGATATATTACTTACTATTTTCATGTGCTGGTGTTTAGGGGCTTGGTGTATTTTAAATGATCCCTTTGTATGTGATTCCAGTTAATGTTTGAAGACTGAATTTGAAACAGCTGTATGTCTCCTGTGACAAGACTGTCTTATGGCACAGAAATATTTTAACTGAATATTAGTTAGGTCAGGGAGTTGGGGGACAAAAAAATTGTCCTTATCATAATCACTGATTTAGTAGTTCTAGGGGTCTGTTGGATTAAACAAATCTCTCCATTGGTGTAGAACTGGTCGACCAGTCCGGTGCATGCTGGATAGAGATGAGGACATGCTTATCACCGGTGGGAGACATCCGTATCTGGGACGCTACAAGGTATTCCTGTATTTTACAGCCTGGCTTAATGTAAATAATCACAAATAAAAATTAACTGTAGGCAAAATAAAAAAGATGTAGATTGTTAATAGCATTAACACAGCAGTTTTTATTTTTCTGACTCCCCCCGTAACGTGGTTTTGTTACCTGTTGATCCTGCCAGTAGACCTGTTATTTTCCAATAACTGAAGCAAGTCAAGCAGTCTAGCAAAAATAGTAGTTACAGTAACAGGGAGTCCCAGTGTTAGCTGCTAAATGTTCCCAGTAGCTGTCAATCATCCAACATGGGGCATTGCCTACAGCGGATTAGATGAAAGCACAGGATGACCACCATCCTTCAATTCAGGGAGCTTGTGGTCAGTTTATAAAAGACGATCTCACAGAGAGGAAGAACTGGCAGGATCATTGGGTATTTATAAAACATTTACCCTCACTAGAAAATAAAAAAAAACATATACAGCTGCATTTACAGGACAAAAGAAGAACTATTTACTCTTTAATAGTTGCGTTTACATACACTTTAAAGCATATGTAAACCTTTTCCTTGTAAAACAACTGATTCACTTTAAAATAAAAATGAAAAGCATATATAAGAACATTTGTATAAGTGATCACATAACCTCTGTTCTCAGCTGCATAAGGAGCTCAAAGAGCTGGGGGTGGAGAAACAATAGGACAATGGTCTTCCCGGTGAATGACTATGCAAGGGGGGGGGGCTGCTTTTGCAACAAATCTAATCAATGGAGGAGAGCTAGAACTGACTGTACTGTGCCCTTATGCCCAGTGCGGTCAGTTTTTGATAGAAGGGCAGAGGGACTGACAGAAACATCAGGGATTTCACACAAAGGAAGCAATACAAAGAGAACAGGATACTTTTTCATATAAGTACATGGTACAACAGGCACATATCAGGGAAATGAAATGCTGGATTTACATATTCTTTAAGTCATCTTTTTATTAGTAAATGCAATCCTTCTGAACCAAATGTAACACAACCCAGCTAATTATATTCCAGTGAGGTTGCCTGTTTTAGAACAGTGTAATATGTAATAAGCTATAAAATCACATCTAAAGCTATTTCCATTCTAGGAGGCGTTAATGTTAGGCCCCAGGCACAAGGGCAGAAAAACCACCTCCCTTACAAGCAGTATTTATTTATTTGCGCATGCTTCTGAACACATTCAAGGTGTATAAATGCAATGTGGTATTTAGATTTGTATTATGAAGCAGTGATCAGGGGCATAAAAAAATACCCCAAACCTGTATTCAAAAAGCAGCTGACCATCATAATTTACATGCATGCATGTGAAATGCACATAAGTAATTCGAAATTGAATATGTATGCGTGTATATTCATTCTAGTGGCTAGAATAAATGAATATTCGAGCCACTGGAATGAGTTTATGCACACACTTCTAAATTTCATGCACCTTTACAATTGCATAAACATGCATAGCTACATGGAAAAATGAATATTTATTAAACTGGCCATACAAGGATCAAAATTTCAGCAGGGATTAGATGGATTTCGATTCATGTTTGGGCATGGTGGTTTTACAGAAGTCGACCACCTTGCAACACATAAACACACTAAAGCAACACATAAACACACCAAAGGCAAGTAAAAAAGAAGGTCCACTGATTTCTTCTGAGTACTGTATAGTGGTACGGACATCTGTTAAATACAGGGGGGGGGATCATTTATGAATGGGTAGTCATACCCTGGTGGGTCCAGAAGGAACTGCACCCTCTGACCTCCATGTGGTCATATTCTAGTCTGCAGCATCAACCAATCATTTGTCCCTTTAATAAATGTAACCTGTCATGAAAGAATTATGGAAGCCGCCATTACTTATCATTTCATCTTAAAATGCTAGTTGGCTGGCAGTCATGTTGATTCATAGGCTGTAAAAGTTTAAGTCACTGACCTGGAACAAGTATAGAGATAAGGAAATCTGACACTTTGCTGACACTCAATTACGACATGTTTGTTCTGACTCTGTGACTTAGTGCATTTATGTTAGGCCCAGCCAAGCAACAATCAATTTAAAGAATATGGAAGCCCAACATTTCATATTCCTGATGTGTGCCTGCTGTACCATGTACTTGTATGAAAAAATATCCTGTTCTCTTTGTGTGAAATCTTCGGTGTTCCTGACAGTCCCTCTGCTTTCCTATTAAAAACCGACCACACTAAGCAGGAAACCACAGTGTGGTCACTTCGCTAGCTATACTGGGAACTGAGACTGCTCTCCTTCAATGATCAGACTTTTCCTGACATTCCCCCCCCTCACAGCCTTTCATTGGAAAGATCAGTGTCCTGCTGCTTCTCCTCCCCCAGCTTTTATGCAGCTGAGAACAGAAGGAATGTGATTACTTATAAAAAGGGGGGAAAAGTGTTTATAATGTGTTTTCTATATTTATATACACATGTTTTGCATCTCATTTCTATTTTAAACTGAATGGGTTGTTTTACAAGTTTAGGGTTTACAGTCACGCTAAGAAGGAGGCCAGCAATGGCAGCTCCCATGCTTCTCTCATGACAGGGTCACTTTCAAGTTTGGCACTGATTCATTGACATTAATTCATGACATCCTGCTTCATCTCACAATTGCAGGTTGGATTCAAGAAAAGTGGACAAGTAACTGCCCTAGAAATTTTCTACTATGCAAATGCTGGAAACTCTGTGGATTTATCCCATGCAGTAAGCCCCTTCCCATGATTTCTGTGTAATGTATTTTGATCCTGCCATTTTTAAAAAATGACTTGTATTCTCAAAAGTGGAACAAACATTAGGATGGATTGCATACTTTGCTGGGTTTAGGTTGAACTGTATAGAAATCCTAATGTGTTAAATCACTTAAAGAACACACATTCAGTCAAACTTTTGTTTTGTTTGTAAAACTCATTGGTAGCCAGAGACCATGTAATTGAAGCTGCCTAGTCTTTTGGCCATTTTTTTTTATTCATGCCAGGAATTTCATTCATAATAACACATGGTAATGCTGCCATGTACTCTACAGAAGTGTGAAATGTAATAACACGTTCAATTCTCCTCTCTAGATTCTTGATAGAAGTTTACTCCACATGGACAATGCTTACAAAATCCCAAACATCAGAGGAACTGGATATCTGTGCAAAACCAACTTACCTTCAAACACTGCATTCCGAGGCTTTGGTGGTCCTCAGGGGATGATGGTGGCAGAGGCATGGATGAGCGATATCGCCCAAGTGTGCAAATTGCCACCAGAACATGTATGTAGAATGCAGATACATTATGCTGGCCAGATGGTCAAATTCAGGAATGGACATTTTCAAAAGAAGGGTTGTGGGTTAACTGAGCTGTTATTTAGATCTACATGTGTTTTACCATTGTAGCATTACCCCTGTAGGAGCCGCTGGAAATGCTTGTCCTCTGCTACTGCCTTGACCTTTCAAGCTCCTTAACCCTTCTGACACTCCAGGTTCAGACATGTTAGACCAACAATGTTCACCAAACTAGTTTCCAATAATACCCAGCACAAAGTGAAAAAAAGGCAATGGACACAATGGGGGTTATTTACTAAAACTGAGTGAGAGTACAAAATCTCTGCATAGAAACCAATCAGCTTCCAGGTTTTATTGCCAAAGTCTAATTGAACAAGGTAAAGTTAGAAGCTGATTGGCTACCATACACAGCTGCACCCAATTCTAAATGCATCAGTTTTAGTAAATCTACCCCACTATTTCAGTAACTACAGTTGTACTGACTATCTCAAGGATGGCTCCAGTTAGCATTTAGAGGATTAAAAACTATTTACAGCAATGTACACAATTTGAAGGAATAAATAACGGTAGCACAAAGTGAATATCAATGCTTAAATAATGGCAAACTGTGCATAATCACTGTGCAACAATGCAACACTGGTTGTGGTGGAGAGGCTTAAGAAAACCACCATCTTCCATGTGACCACTGGTGCAACACAATGGGACCACGTGATTGCCTTTTTATGGATATTTGTAAAAAGAAGAGGCGCCCCTTTAAATAAGCAATAAATAGTGGTGGATATGAAATAGAGTCAACCCAAAGGTTGGGGATGGGATTTTCTGCTAGCATGTTGGGGCCCTTTGAAGGTGAAGAGTAATGAAGAATTACAGAGAGCTGCAGACAGAACTATGAAAATAGCAAATCATGGATTTCTTTCTTGATTTGGATAAATCGTTGTCTGCTAGCAGTGTCCTTATACAGCTAAGTAGATAAAAAGACCAGCAGCTGCCCTTTCAGCAATCCTGGTTCAGATGTAGTCTTTGGCACTTCAGGATGAGCTGAGCAGTTTCTTATAACTTCACAGGGGAAGCAGTGATGATACAGTAGGTTAATGCACTGACAGCTATTACCAATGATGCTGAGAAGGACTGTGAGGATTGCTGGTTAGTGGACAGTGGTTGTGAACACTCGGTGTATCAGTCTGCAGTGCAGCTGCACAGACGAACGAGCTGTGTGTCACTACCACCGGCTGGGCCGCTGAGTTCTGATGCAGCTGTATGCAGAACATCAGCCTTCAACTGTCCTCTTTATTGTCCCCGGGCCGAGAGAGCAAGCCCAACAGGAGCAGTCAAATATATGAGCTCTCCCATAATCCTTTGTTGGATCAGCTTTCTGGAATTTGTAGTTCCGAAGGGGCCCTAAAATACAGTGAGAATTGGCCGCAGAACTACAGGTACCAAGATCCTCTGCTCTGTTCAAGAACAGCTCCCCTCCTCTATAGGCAGGAGGTGATGTAACGGTCTGGTCCTGGGCAATAGCAGGTAGCTAGCTAGTCTATGGTTCTCTCTGATAATGTTCCCCTGAATCCATTTTGCAGTAGCCAGCACCTGGCTACATAGTTACATAGTTAATCTGGCTGAAAAAAGACAAAAGTCCATCCAGTTCAACCATAGAAAAAAAAGTTATAATCCTATACCCACAGTTGATCCAGAGGAAGGCAAAAAAAAACCCAGCAAAGCATGATCCAATTTGCTACTGCAGGGAAAAAAATTCCTTCCTGATCCCCCGAGAGGCAGTTGGATATTCCCTGGATCAACTTTACCTATAAATGTTAGTATTCAGTTATATTCTGTGTATCTAGGAAACAATCCAGGACTTCTTTGAAGCAATCCACTGATCTGGCCAGAACCAACTTTTGAGGGAGTCTATTCCACATTTTCACAGCTCTCACTGTGAAGAAACCTTTCCGTATTTGGAGATTAAATTTCTTTTCCTCCAGACGTAAAGAGTGCCCCCTTTGATCATTGTTAAAATAATACTGTGTTCTGTATATGGTGCATTTTTATCTCAGGATTCTCATTATCATGACACATGTCTCCATGCACAGGTCAGGAAACTGAACATGTACAAGGAGGGGGATCTAACCCATTTCAATCAGAAGCTAGAGGGATTCAATGTTCAACAATGTTGGGAGGAGTGTCTGAGAAACAGCTTGTACCAGGAGAGGAAAGTGGCCATTGAGAAGTTTAACAGGTAACAGCATCCATAATATCTTCTTGACTAGGTGGCAGCAAACTGTATTAACTGGAGTTTTGTAACAGAGCCTGGTGTACCAACGTTGCCACCAGGGGTGACAGCCGACTAACAAGCAGAACAGATGTTGGAGCCATGTAAGCCCTTAGATAGTCAGAGCAAATGGTAGCAGAGTCAGCAGTCTGATCAGGTGCAGACAAACTGATCCTAAACAGATTCCAGGTTACACACAGGTAGACAAAGTAATGATTGACAATAGCAGAGACAACGGGATGATGATCAGAATTAGTACAGACAAGCTGAGTAAGCTTATCCACAAATTTTGCAAGAGCAGTTGAGGGAATGAACAGACAGTCATCAGACAGGCCTTAATCCAGGGTATGAGTAAACAGAGCACCTGTTGATTAGGCACAGGCTAAATGTCCAGCAGTCTACTGAAGTTTTTCTGATTTGGTAAGGTGTGTGCTGTAGAGATTTGAGCTGCAGTACTAATTGTTACAGGTTTATTTACGCAAAATAAGTTTAAAAAGTTGGCATTGGAGCACCTGCACATATATTGTTAGACTGAGAAGTTTCAACTTCATAATAATAATGAAATCTGATTGCTGGTGCATTAGGCAGAAATGAAATGACAGATAAGTTTCAATTAGGGGTCCATGAAGAGCTTGTTGAAGAGCTTTAATGCACAATGTAGGAATTCTTTGATGCATTTCATGCTGGATCACATAATCATAAGGCTTATGATCAAGTGACATCAAAAGCGTCAAGATGTATTTTAAAACCATTGTTTCATTGTGTATAAAATCTCTCCTATAAACCTCCTATATGTGAGAGGCAGCTAGAAGCCTACAAAGGCTCTTTGCTGCTTGGAAGCCCTCTGTGGGCTCATGATTGTAGCTTCACATGCTGTAAGGCTGTGGTGTCAGTGGTGGCTCCAAAGTCAATGTGAGACAAAGTTGTTTGGCAACAACAGGTCTTTAATTTCTTTCATTTCTTGTACAAGGAGATGGCAGAGCTTAGTTTTAGGAGACACCCAGCCTACATGTGAGAATTTTTGTTAGGTGGAGCTACAGTTGATTTAGAACTCGGGTTAAGGGTTTTACCTGTGTTACTGTATAGCCCAAAACTTTTATATATCTGAAATGTGTTTGTGTATTGTCATACAGACAACACCGATGGAAGAAGAGGGGTATCGCTATCATCCCAACCAAGTTTGGCATCAGTTTCACCCTTACCTTGCTCAACCAGGTTTGTTTAAGGGAAAACAAGGGTCCTGTCCGCTTAGATGGGACAGTTTGCAAACAACTGGGAAACAATCTATGTAGATGCCACTTAACACGAAGCAAAGGTTGCCTACATGTGCTAAAAAGAACTAAATAATCAATTAACGCTGTTACTGGGTGTCAATGTTTGAATAAAATTGTGTATAGGTTATACTTGGTGGCAGCCATTGTTGTTCATTACATCCTCTGGCTCTGCCTGCTGATTTGCAATGCTACCCAAGGGTTGTGCTATATTGTTCTCATTAACAATGCAACACTGTGGGGGGAGATTTACTAAAAATGGTGCTCTCAGGATCTGGTGCAGCTGTGCTTAGTAACCAATCAGCTTCTAACTTCAGCTTGTCAATTAAGCTTTGACAATAGCATTGGTTAGTATGCGCAGATGCACCATATTCTGTGTGCGCCGGTGTTAGGCAATCTACCTCTATGGGGTTTATTTACTAAAACTGGAGAGTGCAGAATCTGGTGCATCTCTGCATAGAAACCAATCAGTTTCCAGGTTTTATTGACGAAGCTTAATTGAACAAGCTGAAGTTAAGTCCTCATGCACACTGGGGACGTTTTTACAGCGGCTGTTTTTGGCTTTTGACGTTTTTTTCTACAGCTAGTAAACTCCCCAGCATGTTATCCTATGTGTCCATGCACACACAGACTAATCAACGTTTTTTGTCTAGAAACCCCCCTCAGAACTAGTGGGTTTCTAGAGGAGTTTTTTATCTGTAAAAACGCTCTAATACTGAAAAACACAGCAAAACTCAGTAAATCATGGTAAATCGTGGAAAACCAGTGTTTTTGGAAATTTTTTGGACCAAAAAAAAACCGCGAAAAAAAAGCAGCAAAACGCTAATACAAAAACGCTGAAAAACTCAAGTTTTTAATGTGACTTTACACAGCTAATGTTACCAGCGTTATTAAAACGCCCCCAGTGTGCATGGAGCCTTGTTGGTTAGCATGCTCAGCTGCACCAGATTTTGTGCTGTTCAGTTTAAATATACCAACCCCTGTGAGTTGTCTAAGTCACTGAAAGCAATGCAATCCGTGTGCTCTATATCTTTTCTGAAGCTTTTTTAAAGCAGAACTTCACCCTCTCAGTCAACACTGACTATTTTTAATTCTTATGCTGCTAGCATTGGTAAATACATAGAAAAGTATATCATATTTACTCTTTTTTTTACGTTTCTTCAGTTATTTCCTGGCTTCCATGCCTAGGCAAACGATGTAACATATCCCAGGAATCTTCAAGAGGGGAGGAGGGGTTTTCTTAGCTAAGCACACCCTCCTGCCTGCATGCCTGAGTTAGAGTAGATGGATTCCAGGATGTAAATGCTACTTGAATCATCTGCCATTACTCAAGATGGCCAATGCCAGAAATGCTATGGAATGCTTTTCAATGTGATTTCTTAACAAAATAAAGCATGGAGGAATGGATAGATGGGTGTTTGTTTTGAGTATTAACCACTGCAATAGCCGGCACTTTTACCCCGTTCCGACCCAGGCCAATTTTCAGCTTTCGGCACTCTCACAGTTTGAATGACAATTACATGGACATGCAAATGTAAATAATAGTCCCCCTGCGCTCCACTGGTAATAGTATGATCAATTAATTTTTATGCAAGCTGCTGTCACCTTTTCCTAATACCTGAGGATATACAATAGTAATATACTGGTGGTGAAGCGCTACACACACACACACACATATATATATATATATATATATATATATATATATATTATCAGTGTGTATAATAAATCTACAATGATATATCTATGCATATGGATCAACAAAATGAAATGATATATAAACGAAGCATGCATATAAAATTATATAATGCTCTAGCTGGTGCTTTTAGATCATGCTTAAATAAATGGATACCAGGTGCTGAAGTGCAAACGGGTCAGTCAATTACTGACCTGTACCCAATGTGCCAACAAAAAAAACCCTCATGAGGGTAAAGTTGATGAGAAGATAAATATATCACACTCTATTAAAAAGTGACAAGTGCTCTGACTGCAGACACAATAGGTAAATATATCTATATATCAAAGTCCTCAATGAAGTGCAATAAATCGTGCATGAAGGTTGATGTGCAAAATAGGCAATAGTAGTGCTTCAATTTTTCACTCCAAACATTACGCGTGCTTGTGTGACACATGTGTGTATCACTATCCAAAAGTGACTAGAGTGCCCTCACCTCCCTGAAGCGACCCCTAAGGGCCACAACACATTGAGCAATATGTGATCCACAACACTGGGGATCTCAGATAATTGGCTCCTATGCTTCCACTCAGCCTCCACTGCCAGGTCACTTTGGTGATGGTGGTCAGGAATAGGAATATCATAAGGCCATCATGACAAAGCCACGTGGTATCGTGGAGTAACGCGTAGAGCGCGGTGATGCATTTCCGGTGAAGCATTTCCGCTTACACACTTCTGGTAGACGCCATCTTTGGACACCCAGGGACCTGCAGTACACCCACAGCACATGGGAAACCGCTGAATTGTATCTGCATCACTGTGAGTGTCCTTTTGGCTTATTTACCTGCTATTTGAATAAATCATACTACACTATGGAGGCTCTCTTTGTCTACCTCTTTATGGCCTTATGATATTCCTGATGTTGTGACCACCATCTGAGGGGAAAAGTGACCTGGCAGTGGAGGCTGAGTGGAACCATGTGTTGTGGCCCTAGGGGTCGCTTCAAGGAGGTGAGGAGGCACTCTAGCCACTTTTGGATAGTGATACACACATGTGTCACACAAGCACGCATCATGTTTGGAGTGAAAAATTGAAGCACTACTATTGCCTATTTTGCACATCAACCTTCATGCACGATTTATTGCACTTTATTGTGGACTTTTGATATATACAGTAGATATATTTACCTATTGTGTCTGCAGTCAGAGCACTTGTCACTTTTTAATAGTGTGTGATATATTTATCTTCTCATCAACTTTACCCTCATGAGGGTTTTTTTTTTGTTAGCACATTGGGTACAGGTCAGTAATTGACTGACCTGTTTGCACTTCAGCACCTGGTATCCATTTATTTAACCTCCCTAGCGGTCTGATTATGTCCATATTTCTGTGCTCAAAGCGGTACATATTTTTGTATGGAAATATGTAGTTTTTTTATTGTAGGCCTGTCATTTTTAGGAATAACTCACTGAAATCTGCCCGAACAAGAGTCTAGTAAACATCCCAGGTAGGATAAAACTTGAAACACGAAATCATAAATTATAATTTAATAAATAATCATAAAAAATAATAATATAACAATAAATTCAATTCAATAATATAATCAAACCAAAAACACTGAAATTTGAAATATAGCGCCAAGTTCGCACATCACTGAGCAAAGTCGCAGAATCGTTTTCAGTGTCTGATGACGAATTTCTCCACGAATCATTATCACTCAATTCTGCAAGTAGTTCTAATTTACTATCGCTGTTCTCTAGCTGGTCTAAAACCGATTTAGACCTAAAGGGACGCTTTTTGGACGCCATGGACATTTCTCAGTTTCCAGGCAGAAAGAACAGTAAAAACGCAGGCAGGGCACAGGACAAAGCACTCGGGACAAAATGTATGTGAAATGGTTTGATACAGGAATGTAATACTATGTGATTTTAGTGAATGTCACTTTTTGTTATTTTCAAATTTCCCGCCGTTCCGTCCCCCGTACGTCCCGACCCTCACAGGGGACGGAACCCAGAAGACAGATGCCGGCATCTGCCGGATTACATTGTCGGGGACACTGCAGGAGGGACATCGCGGGAGCGCAGGACAAGGTAAGTGACCGAGGGATCACGGAGCAGCACCGCATGGTAAGCCCAAGTGCAGCTCAGGGTTACCGCTTGTGATACTGAAACTTTACCTCGAGCTACACTCGGGAATACCGCCAGGGAGGTTAAGCATGATCTAAAAGCACCAGCTAGAGCATTATATAATTTTATATGCATGCTTTGTTTATATATCATTTCATTTTTTTGATCCATATGCATAGATATATCATTGTAGATTTATTATACACACTGATATATATATATATGTGTAGCGCTTCACCACCAGTATATTACATGGTCATGCAGCACTGTACCCAAACAAAATGTTTAGCATTTTTCCAGACAAATAGAGCTTTATTTTAATGGTATTTAATCAACACTGGTTTTTTTTGCTAAATAAACACACAAAAGTTTATTTACACGTTTTTCTTTGTTTCTGTTGTTAAAATTTTGCAAATAAATAATTGTTCTTCATAAATTTAGGCCAAAATGTATTCTGCTTCATTTCCTTCATGAAAATAACCCAAATTAGTAAATATTATTTAGTCTGTAGAAAAGTTATAGAGTCCACAATCTTTTGTATACAGTATATCTGAAAATCGGTCAATCCTGATGTACTGACTGCACTGATCTCAGTAGAGATACCCCCAAATGACCCCTTTTTGGAAAATAGACAGTCTGCGGTATTTGGTAAGAAGCATGGCAAGTTTTTGAAAGTTGTCATTTTTTGTCATAATTTTTTTGGGAAATGAAGAAATTCACTATTCCCCCCCCCCCCCCCCCCCCCTTTTGCCCCCCCCCCCCCCCCCCCCATGCTGTCACCATGCAGCCCTATCATATGACTGGTGTGGTGATGAAATATATATATATATTTTATAAAACACTGTGACCAGAGTAATATAATGTTACCATAGTAGAATTTCACTGCTAGAGGCAGACATTTAACTGAATGAAATTGATTAATTCAGTGTTTTTTGTTGTGATTAGCTGTGATTGGTCCAGTCTGTACATGTTGTCACTGTGACCAATCACAGCTAACAACACAATTGTATACAATGGATGGCATGAAAACATCCATTGTTTACAATTGTCATGTGACCTACTGTGATTGGTCACAGCTGTCACATGGTACTGGCAACGGGCTGGTACACAGATATGTGCCCTATAGGGTGGAACATGTAACACGTTGCACAAGTAAACTTAGCCTTTAATACAATAACATATTTGGTTTAAAAATGGTAAAATTCACTAAGCATTATTTTAAGGCAAACAGTTCAATAACAACCCAAAAATATACTAATTGGAAATACACTGGGGCCATTTTATTTACATTTTATAAAGGACAAGGTGCGTTTGATCCCTTGCCCTAGTTTGCCAAAATCAGACCAGTTCTGCACCATGGCCACATATGAACCAACCCATGCCAACCATCCCAAAGACCTACACACCAGGAAGCACCAAAACTAGCCCTGCTTTGCCATAAACTAATGGTAAAAACAATATGAGGACCATGCTGATGAACAAACTAACCACTGATTATTTCATATTTAAGAAGTAGTTCGTAATTGAGGTACCTCATGTGTCTCTTTCATATGTCCTTCATGTCTTCTCTTCTACAGGCTGGAGCTCTGGTACATGTGTACATAGATGGGTCGGTTCTGTTAACCCATGGTGGGACAGAGATGGGTCAGGGGCTGCACACCAAGATGGTTCAGGTAATCAAATACCAGATGTTATTTAATTTATTATTACGTTTATTAACTTTTTTTTTTCATTAATGTCTGTGTTGGGAACATTCAGCAGTTTTACACCCATACTAGTGTATGGCATACTAGTGCACACAGTTATGGGCAAATGTTTGTGAACACCTGACCATCACACCTATATAGAATTTTTAGACATCCCATTCCAAAACCATGGTCATTAATATTGAATTCTCTCCCCCCTTCAACTATAACAGCCTCCTCTCTTCCGGGAAGGCATTCTATCAGATTTTGGAGTGTGTCAGTGGAAATTTGTACCCATTCAGCCACAACAGCATTTTTGAGCTCAGGTACTGATGTTAGGTGAGAAGATTGGGTTTTCAATAAGATTTCCAATTCATGTCAAGGGTGTTTGATAGGGTTGTGGAGTTGGCTTTGTACACAGGGGCACAGTCATACTGGAACAGAAAAGGACATTCCCCAAACTGCTGTCACAAGGTTGGAAGTACACAGGGGCATAAATAAGTCAGTTCAGAGCAAGGGAGGCTGCTCTTCCCCAGCTTCAGTCACATGACCCAGGTTAGGGGAGACTTTTCCTATTCTGAACTGCCATTGTCTGGTAAGTGTGTTTTATGGAGCAGGGAGAAATGTACTGAGGGGTGAGAGCTGTACTGAGGGTGGAGAGCTGTACTGGGCAGTTAGGCTTGGAGAGCTGTACTGGGGGGAAAAACAGCACTGAGAGGGGATAGCTGTACCGCATGGGAAGAGCTGTAGTGGGGAAGGGGGGGAGAGTTATACTGGTGGGTCAGAGCTGTATTGGGGGAAGGGAACTCCGGAAGTGGGGTTACATACTGGGAAATCTGTAGCAGTGGGTGGGGGGTGATCTGTATCGGTGGGGGGGGGGGGGGGGGCAGAGCTGTACTGGGGAATAAGCTGTACTGAGGGAGGATAGCTGTACTGCGTGGGAAGAGCTGTACTGGGGCAGAGCTGTATTAGGGGACGTAGATGTACAGAGGGGAAGAACTGTACTGGGGGGAGAAGAGCTGTACAGAGGAGAGCACTGTACTGGGGGTGAGAGCTGCTCTGAGGGGGAGTAGCTGTACTGGGGGAAGGGAGCTGTATTTAGAGGGAGAGCTGTACTAGAGGGGGAGAGCTGTACTTACTGGAGGGGGGGGATTCTGTAGTAATGGGAGAAAGAAGGGAGATCTGTACTGGGGAAGGGGATGTTGACTTGGGGAGGGAGGGTTTTTTGTTGTTCTTTGTCTACAGACCTGTGCATTACGCTGTCCTGACCCCTGCTTTCTGTTTAATGCACTCATAACCCCTGTGCTCTGTGCATTACTCCTGACCCCTGTGCCCTTTGTGTTACTCACTCCTGACCTCTATACTCTGTATGTTACCACTCCTGACCTCTGTGGTCCATACATTACACACTATTGTGCCCTGCTTTCTGTGTTTTTTGCACTCATGACCTTTGCATCCTGCCAGATGTGCACTCCTTACCACTGCACTCTGTGCAATATGCACTCTTGACCTCTGTATTCTGTACTCCTGAACCCTGCACTCTGTGTATTAAGACACTTATTACTTCTTTCTTTTCAGTGACACACCAATGCAGAGACAATTTTTCAATCCAGTAATACCTCTGATGAAGGGGCATTTTTTTCTTTCCAGGGACACCGCAGCAGATTTAGGGACGAGTTTTCCTTTCAGTGACATCACCGATGCAGGGAATTTTTTTTCTTCCCAACAAAGCAGGGACGTTTCTTCCTTCCAATGACACCACCAACACAAGCACAATTGTTCCTTCCAGTGACAGCACAGATCCAGGGACATTTTATATTTAGTTCAAGACTCTTAAAAATCAGTCCTGTGACACAGTGAGATTGGGCTAAACTATTCAGTGTGAATTAGCACAGGAGGGTGAGCAGTGGTACATGGATTGCCAGGGTCAAACAATGGACTGCATATTCATTTCTCTCCTGTCAGAGGTTAAAAAAAAAGAGGGTAAAGGTGGTTGTTTGTTGTGGTTTTAAAACAGCTCCTTTTGCAAAAAAAAAAGGAGAACATATAGGCATGTGACAATCATCAGTACATTATTTGTGCTAAATATCAATTTTTCTTTTCTTATATAGGTGGCCAGCAGAACTCTGGGAATAGCAACATCTAAAATACACATCAGTGAGACCAGCACAAACACAGTGCCCAACACGTCGCCAACTGCTGCCTCCGCCAGCTCGGACCTCAATGGCCTCATGGATGGCGATTTATGTAAGCAGCTGTAAATGAAAAGGAATTTGATTTAGGAGTAAGGCTCAGTATAGGCAGAACCATTGTTATGTCAGTGCTAGAAAGACTTGACTAATAGGTGATATGTAGATCCATTGTCATTCACAAAACTTTCCTTGGAAGATGTTTGTCACTCTCATCATATGCCCTCTGTGATGTGGTAGATTGTAAGCTCACCTTACATTTTGCAATCCAGTTGTAGTATCTCATGATTTCAAGAGCTCACTTACACTTTCTTTGACTTTAACACACATTAAAACACCTACCGCGTGCCAACATGCTCTTTTAATGTGTTTTGTTATGAGTCTGTGATGCTTTTTTGAAGTTTTAATGAAGCTTGGCAAATGCCTTTGTGTTGTGATTTTCTATTTGTTTTAAAAGGACCCAGTAGAAGCCCAGCTCAGTAGTACCCCCGCTTAGCAGATACCCAGCTCATTAATGCCCCTGTTCAGCAGATCCCTGACTCATTGGTATCTTTGTTCAGGAGATCCCCAACTTATTAGTACCCTCATTTAGCAGATCCCCTGCTCAGTAGTACCCACAGCTTTGCTGATCTTTCACTCACTATTAACCTCCAGCTCCGCTGATCCCACACTCAGTAGTATCCTACAGCTCTGCTGACCCCCCGCACAGTAGTAACCCACAGCTCTGCTGATCCCACACTCAGTAGTAACCCCCAGCTCTATTGACCCCCCGCTCAGTAGTAACCCACAGATCTGCTTATCCACCACTCAGTAGTAACCCCCAGCTCTGCTGATCCCCCGCTCAGTAGTAACCCCTAGCTCTGCTACTCCACCACTCAGTAGTAACCCCCAGCTCTGCTGACCCCCTGCTCAGTAGTAACCCACAGCTCTGCTGATCCACCACTCAGTAGTAACCCCCAGCTCTGCTGCCCCCCGCTCAGTAGTAACCCACAGCTCTGCTGATCCGCCACTCAGTAGTAACCCCCAGCTCTGCTAACCACCCGCTCAGTAGTAACCCACAGCTCTGCTGATCCACCACTCAGTAGTAACCCCTAGGTGTGCTGATCCTTTGGTTTGCTGATCCTTTTCTCTCTGGTCCCTGCTCACCTCCCACTATACTGCTCCCATGCTGCATACCACATGTGACATTGTCAGTTTCTGCCAGCTCTTTGCTGCTCAGTTCTCTCAGTCCAGTCCTCTCCCACCTTTAGCTATAGCTTCCCACATTGCACACCACATATTCTGTCTGCTAGTTGCTCCACTCTAGTCCAGATCCCACTCACCTTCCTGCTGCTCCATGCTACACATCAGATGTGACGTCTGCACCAGACACGTCCAAAATATATACACATGAACCAGAATTGATTGCTGATGACATTTTGTTTTTTTTGTTGGTTTCCCAGTGCATCCTGGGATATTTAATATCTGCAATACCTCCAAAACAAAGTGAAGCTAACTCTGAATAAAAGCCCCTCAAAAGCTGCAGGTTCTGTTAGCAAGCTTTGTCATAGACTTCTATGGAGGCTTTGGAGATGCTTTGAAGCACCAAAAAAGCGACATGGGGTATAGTTTTTTGAAGCAAAGCAAAGCAAACGCCAGGTGTGAACAGGACTGTAAACTAGCCATTTTATTTAATGAGAGATGCATTGATTGGCTTTCCAAGTACTTTAAAAAAGAGTGTCAAATTCCACATTTGAAGCAACTGTAAATGAGCCCTTATATTAATTACTGGTAAGTAGGGATGACTTAAATGTATGAATGCACTCAACCTCAGTTCAACGGCCATTCGGCGAACATATCATATGCTTGGCAATTGAATTCAAACTCACTAAACGTAACTTCAAAAACACCATTTTGCAGAAACCAGAGAGCCTAATGCTTAAAGTGACACATTAAAAATACAAAATTCCTTAAAATATCTGTACAATATATACAACCTACTGCAACAAAACTGGCATTTACAGTACAAAGAAAAACAACGCTGTTTAAATTGCTGGTAATTTACTTTTCCCTACAAACTTCCCTTATTTTGTAAAAAAATTGCATGGGAACCCCACAAAATACAAACAAGAAACTTTTTTTTTTGCCCTCTCTCTGTCACTTTTGTTAAAAAAAAAAAAGTGCGGGTACCCTTATTTTAATTAATACCAAACTCTTCAGATCTAGTACGGATTTTAAAGGGGAATCCCTGCACCAAGAACACAAAAAAAAATTTGTGCGACCCAATTGCTATGGATCTGGTGTAGATTTTGAGGGGGAACCAACACCTTTGTACCTTTGCTCTGTTCAAGACTCTGGGATAGATCTTTGGGGAAATCCATGAAATTTTTTTTATGTATTTTGCACAGGTCCCCCCTTAAAATGCATACTAGACCTGAAGGGCCAGATGTTGATTTTAGGGAGGACTCCACACCATTTTTTTGCATGGAGTCCCCCTTAAAGGGCCTGGTTTGAAATGGAAGAATTGGTCCTTTTTTTGGTGGAGGGAGCGGGTACCTGTTTTTATTTTTTTTTTTTTTATTATATCTCTTATTGAATTTTTTTTTGAACACTTAAAACAACACTCTTTCATATTTATAAAAAAATAAAATACAAACCATGCCCCTGTAATCTCCCACACTGACCCCCCCCCCCCCAATCCCATTCCTCCCAACAATTTTCCCCAGTCCATATAGTTCTGTCCAAGTCTTTCCATTATTTTTCTTGTCTATATCTATATCTCTTTACTTCAATACTCTCCTCCTATAATCTTCATCTCACCACTCTCTTTTTTTCTGCTGCCTTTCTTTCTCCCTTTCCTCTGTCTTCCTTACACCCCTTGGTCATTCGGTTCCCCCTCTTCCACACTGATGCCACTATTTGGTACCGCAGCAGTACAAACTCTTGTGTCACTCGCCTGACTCACCGTCTAATGAGCAGACTGCAGAGAGATGTCACAGGAAACAAAACTGTTCAGCCATACAGTGGACTTTGAATTACAGTTTTTTTTAGAAAAGAAGAACAAACCCTTTGGAAGGAAGAAACACAGTAGATGTTCATTATCAGTGCATGAAGGTGCTTACCTGAAGGAGTTCCTTAAGGCTTAGTTCAGGTCTATGCATGCTGCTAGACAGTGAAAAGAGAAGCAGCACAGTGAGGAGCTCATCTCTATGTCACTCTTCTTTCTCCTCCTGTCACCATACTTCCTGTAAGCACATGAACTGCACAAGGCTGACACCAGGTAACACTTACACTGCTTGCATGCAAAAAATACATTTAATGATGCATTAATAATTACAGCAGTGCATTAAAAGAAAAGTATGGGTTAAGTAAAACAAAAAATTATTTTACTCACCTAGATGGATGCAGCATCGAATCACTGCATCTGCTCCCCCCTCCCCCGGCCCTAAGACTGAGAACTGAGCTGATTGCTTAGTTCTCAGTGTTCCAAGAGCAGAGAGCTGGTGACTGTCAGTCACCAGCTCTCTACTTTGCTCCTCCAGCGCTCACCAGAGCACTGGGCGGTGGAGAGGATGGGAGCATATGGTCGGGATCTTTTGAGAGCCTGCACTGCCTCTGTGATGTCAGCCAACTTCAGCTGAAAATGAGTCACAGTAGTGCTGAACAAATGGCACTCATGCGATCCCCAGGAGAAGTACAGCCAAAAAAGCTTTGCCTACACTTCTCCTGCAAATTATGTCTTTTATATCTGCCTGGAGTTCATCATTGATACTCCTTTGTACTTTTCTCAGGTTTATTTGTTTTATGATGTCATTAATATTTGGTGGCCTATATAATTAAAATGGTAATTTGTAGTGGTATAACCATTTCTCTTGTTCTATAGAATGCTTGTCAGACATTACTGCAGAGACTGGAACCCTACAAGAAATCTAACCCCAATGGCCCATGGGAAAGCTGGGTATGTAAATACATACAATGCACTTTTTTCATGATGGTTAAGCATTTTCTACTTTTGCTTGGCATCGCTGGGGCCGAAGGTTTGATTCCCATCAGGGATCTAGCTGCATAAAGAGTTCTGTGGTTTGTGAAGGTTTATATTGGGTGCTGTGGTTTGATCCCCAAATCTAAAAATGAACTGGAAAGTTAATCAGCTTTTTCCAAAAAATTGGCCTTGACGCATAAGCATAGGTAAATGTCAATGCTTGGAATGTTATATTGTAAACCTGGCAATAAATATGAACAAATATTGTATCATGTGGCTATCCCATGACTATGGATACTCTTGGCTGACCAACATTGAGTGAGGATTTAACAGCAGGTTTTAAAATCTTGTCTAATCAGTTAATGTTTTTCCTGATATAAACCAGCTCCAGGAAGTACCTTACCGCACTACCACCTCTTCAGGCACTTAGTGACCCTGTATATTTATGCCTAAAAGTATGACAGTAGATGTATCCTGACAGTATTCTCATGATCTAACCATCCTCTAAGGTCTATAGGACACTTTAAGCCCCTTTGGTAGCAAGGACTCATAGGTTTATTGCTCTTTGTAAAGTACTGTTTAAAGTGGTTGTAAACCTCTGAAATGAAAAACGTGCCTCTGACAGTCCATGCCAACACCAAGCAATCTTGGGGGACAGTCCCGCCCTCCACCTCTCTCTCAGCATTCAGCAGGTGATTGATAGCCTCAGCTGTGCATGTTTTCCTATGAGACTATGTGGAGGCGGTTAAGCATTCTCTCCACTTGGGTCTCAGATTATACTCAGCTCTCTGCTCTATGCTGTGCAGTGTGTTACATCAGATCCCCACCCCCTGATTTCTGGAGTTAGGAAATGTGCTGACAGTGTGTGCTTTGGGATGCTGTAGAGAAGGGAGGGCTGCAAATAAAGATGTAGGAGGATTTGTTTCATCTCTGTGAATTACCTGAGGTTAGTCACTTCACTGGGTATATGTTAGGGTTTACAACCAATTAAAATAAGTAAATATATTCAGCAGCATACTTGACATCATTATTTTTCCAGTTTCCCTTTTTGTGTACAGTTTTTGCAACAGAATGAGCCTTTGAAATGTTGATCTGTTTAGCTTCAACCTAAAGGGTGGCCCCATTGTGTTGCAGGGTCTCCTTGGAGGCAATGTGTACCCACCTGAAAGTGCATGTTCCCAACTAGTACTGCATCTTCATATGATGTGCTTTGGTGCTGCGCTCGAGGGATGCATGTGCATTACAGGAACTACTCTGGTGCTATGGTCAGGGGGACATTTGCATTATGAGTGATGTAATCCCAATCTCTGATGTGCTCAGTGCGCATCCCCAACAAAAAGTTCAGTGAAGGCTGAAGAAAGGGACAAAGGAAAGAGAAACTGAGTACTGTAAAAGTGAAAGTTCAGGGAACAATAAAAGAAACTAACACTTGTTAAATACTAGCTGCATGGAACTTAAAGCAGAGTTCCACTCACTCTGTAAAAAAAATAAAAGTCAGCAACTACAAAAACTGTAGCTGCTGACTTTTAAAAAACAGCCACTTACCTGTCCCACGATCCCGCGTTGCCCCCGCCACAGCCTGTTTCACCGGCCGTCCTGTATTCCAGGAGGCTGGCATCTTCAGTGTGGGCACCCGGCTGTCACAGCGGGTGCCCACTGCACATGCGCGAGTAGCGCTGTTCTTCCTGAATGGCCCCCGTAGTCTTCTGGGACCTGTAACGTGTCCCACAAGACTTCAGGGAGGGAGGGTAGGAGGACAACTGCTGTTTCCGATCGCCTAGGCGATCGCAGTGGAAGTGGGAGCGGGTACCTGTTGAATTTGGGTTCCCCCCCCCCATTCCCCAAAGGTGCCAATGGGGAGCGGGGGACCAGTCTTTAAAGTGGAACTTCCCCTTTTGAGTGGAACTCCGCTTTAACATAAATATTAACTGAATGTGTAACACAGCTTAAATATCTAGTCAAAATTTTCCAGCTAATGGTGCCCTCTGCTGTTCAGTCTGTATATTGATTATAAATATTGGTGAGCCACCCGTAAGGGCTGTGAGTATACAGTATTTGCATACACTGGCATAGCATAGGGGTGATTCATCTTATTTTCTATTCCAGATAAAAGCAGCTTATGAGGACCGGGTGAGCCTCTCTGCCACAGGATTCTACAAGTATGTCAAACACTTGTTAAAATTTGATTCACCTCTGTTACCATTTTGTATATTATCAATAATAGTTCAATTGTAGTCTGTGGTTTTCCATAGTTTTCTGTAACAGCAACTATAACTAGCAACAGTATCATTTTTTTTTTTAAAGCTGCACTTTTTATCTTACTTTGAGCTCTAGTTCAGTAGCTTTGCCTAGGCTAATGTAATCAGTTTGGTGCAGGCATGAGGAAGCATTTTCTCATTCTCCTCTTCCCAATTGTTTAGACTGCAAAATTATAACTTGGTAGTGAATCATAAGGTGAGAGGCTGCAACAGGGACTGATCTGTGTGCAGACATTTGTGAACACAGCCAAGAACTGCACAGGCACCAGCATTGTACAAGGTTGTGTCATCTCTGAGCTGGCTTCTCAGTCCAGGAAGTATATGCTGACCCAAGATGATGGCTGAACAAAGATGGCTCTGTCCTTCTGGAGAGATAGTACAAAAAAATGGCAACCACCCCAATCTGTAACTGGCCTATGCAGCAAAGAGCACATGGAAGGGCAACACATGTAAAAAAAACAACAGAGAAAAATTCCCAGCTCACTTACCAGCCAGCCTGCAACAAACAGAATCCCCCTGTCTAACAGTTCATATTACAACAAGGGGTTTTAGTTTGAACACATTTGCAAATACATGCATACTCTGCAGAGACCACTTCACGGCACCCCAGTGTACAGCAGTCCTAACTCTATACACTTTAAGATCCTCCAAAGTTTGAGCACATATATAATAATGGACAGACTGAGGGTAAGTATGCCTGGAGGGAGCCCACCCCTCCTTGAAGCAGAACCTTTAAATAATCTGTTGTTCTTGCAGCACACTGTTTTCTTGCCTTCCAGATATCCAGTCTTCTTTATTCAGTGAAGAGCCCTCTGTCCCCCTCATATCCTGTTCACAAGACCGGTGGCTGATATGCCCTCTATCCCTTCAGCCCCCGGTCTTGTACAATCCCCTCTTTAGATTTTAGTGAAGGCAGGGGACACTAATTACGCTGCTGCTCAGTTCAGTGGGTGGACCCAGGAGACTTGACTCCCAGTCTAATCCACCCACTGTGCTATGTCATCGGATGGTCTGTCCCCTGCACTCCTAGTCTGGCCCCTGACTATACAGGACTACTGTGCAAATGTAATCACCATCCTGGAGTGCTTATTTAAAGGTCTAGGAACACATTGGATACCCAGCTATAGCACAATAGCAGTGAAGGTCTGCAGTGCTTCCACTCACCAATTAACCACCAGTGCAAACAAATGGCAACCACCCCAATCTGTAACTGGCCTATGCAGCAAAGAGCATATGGAAGGGTAACGCATGTCAAAAAACAACAAAAAAAGATTCCCAGCTCACTTACTAGCCAACCTACAACAAACATAATTACCCTGTCTAACAGTTCCTGTTAAAACAAGGGGTTTAGTTTGCACACATTTGTAACTACATGCGTAAGCTGCAGAGACTACTTCACGGCACCTCAGTATAAATGCAGTCCTAACTTTATACATTTTGAGAGCCTCCAAAGTTGAAGCACATATATATGTAGCGTTACCCTTGTGAGGGCCGCTGTGTTGTGGGTATCCCTAAGCTTCCCTCCACACAGCCAGGCAACAGGTATTTTTCACACAAATTTGCATCAAAACACATTGAACAGTCCATGAGCTTGGTTTTGTTGTTTTATTAGGGGAGTTCAACTTGGACAGGGAAATGGGGATTATGGGATGCCCAATTTGAGTTGAAACACTGGAAGGGAGACTCTTCCCTCCTATGTACAAAGCAGATCCTGCACTGTTCTCTTCCTGAAAGCCATCAGTCGTTGCGGATCAATAGCAGCTGCCCCTTATGGATGAGGAACTAGCAGCCCCTCAAAAAATCACTTTACGTCTCGTAGCTACATGCAGAGATGTCTTTTCTCTCCTTTACGGAGCTGCTCCCTGTTCCACAGCCTGCAAGCACTACTAGTCCTCCTGGCTTCTTGGAAGATCTCCCAGGGAAGGACTGAGCTCAATTCTGTCCTTAGAAAGCTTGGAAAGCTTGCTATATTTGGCAGTCTTTCCCCTTGCAGATCCCAAAGTGTGCTGCTGTACTCACACTGTCCTCTTTGCTCCCTACTGCTCCAGGCCTTTATCCCATCCACACCTCTCTGCAAAATGTATCCTCCAGAGCCAGCCTGAGCCCAACCTAGAGGCCACAACTCCCCCCCCCCCAGACCTAGGGAGCCCCTCATAGACACGGCAGTCTCCTCAGCACTCAATCTTCCACCTGACTCCTTTGTCAGCCTGACTCGCTCATATTTATGGCCCAGCCCACCATTCCACCAGGGCCTGCAAACCTGGGATTGGCCGGAGCCCCATGAACATGCAGTTCAGGTCTCCACCCCTTCCTGCTTACTGACTTCTGGAAAGTTCTATGGTACCGGAGTCAGTAGCCACAACCTGTTGAGTCATCCAGCTGACCTGCAATAACCCGTCCTCAATCACATGACTCAAATACCTACCATGAGTCAAACACAATGATTTTGCCTAATATACTCTACACTACCTTAGTAGCACAATAGAGGGTGCTACAAATAATAATGGACATATTGAGGGCAGGTATGCATTGAGGGAGCCCACCCCTGCTTACAGATATGGGCTGCTGTGAAGTGATCTCTGCAGCTTACGCATATTTTTGCAAATATGTGCAAACTAAACCCCTTATTTTAATGTGAACTGTTAGACAGGGTAATTTGAATTGTTGCAGGCTGGCTGGTAAGTGAGCTGGAAATCTTTTTTTGTTGTTTTTTGACATGCGTCACCCTTCCATGTGCTCCTTGCTGCATAGGCCAGTTACAGATTGGGGTGGTTGCCATTTGTTTGCACTGGTGGTTAATTGGTGAGGGGAAGCATTGCAGACCTTCACTGCTATTGTGCTATGCTGGGTATCCAATGTGTTCCTAGACCTTTAAAGAAGCACTCCAGGATGGTGATTACATTTGCACAGTAGTCCTGTATAGTCAGGGGCCAGACTAGGAGTGCAGGGGCCAGACCATCCGATGACATGGCACAGTGGGTGGATCAGACCGGGAGTCAAGTCTCCTGGGTCCACCTACTGCACTGAGCAGCAGTGTAATTATAATTATGTGTCCCCTGCCTTCACTAAAAACTAAAGAGGGGATTGTACAAGACCGGGGGCTGAAGGGATAGAGGACATATCAGCCACCGGTCTTGTGAACAGGATATGAGGGGGACAGAGGGCTCTTCACTGAACAAAGAAGGCTGGATATCTGGCAGGTAAGAAAACGGTGTGCTGTAAGAACAACAGGTTATTTAAAGGTTCTGCCTCAAGGAGGGGTGGGCTCCCTCCAGGAATACTTACCCTCAGTCTGTCCATTATTATATATGTGCTCAAACTTTGGAGGATCTTAAAATGTGTAGAGTTAGGACTGCTGTACACTGGGGTGCCGTGACGTGGTCTCTGCAGAGTATGCATGTATTTGCAAATGTGTGCAAACTAAAACCATTTGTTTTAACATGAACTATTAGACAGGGTAACTTGGTTTGTTGCAGGCTGGCTGGTAAGTGAGCTGGGAATTTTTGTTTGCTGTTTTTTGATCTTTTGGAGAGATAGCCATAGTTATGCATTGTCAGATGCAGTACTATGATGTCTGTGAGAGGTAATATATACACTGGTATGTTTTACAGTTATACATTACTTAGCATGCATGAGCTTAACAGGTAAAATATATTTTTGCCAGGTCCACTTTAGATTTTTAAATTTTTAGAGAATAATAATAGTCAATTAAAAGATTGACCTGCTTTCAACAATATATATAAAAATATCTATCTATCTATCTATCTACTCCTCCTGAGTATATACAATATTTGAGCCTAAAGAAAGGGTAGATCTTTGTACCCCCGAAATATGCTGGATGTTTTAATTTTGTCTTGTTGTGAACAGACAACATTGATAAAAGATTTTTCGATTTCTTGTTCTGGCACTCTCATTGGACTTTTGGTCTAATCATTCCCCAATTTAGGAAAACTAAAAAAGATGCTTTTACACACACTTTATATGTTTAGTAATATTTTATATGATTAATATTTTATATGTACATACCCATATCATATCAATTCATAAACTTGTTCATTTAACAAATATAACTGAATCCATTATAATTTGCCTTTTGTTCATGTCAGGACTGAAGGAATCGGGTATGATCCCATAAAGAATGAGGGCAACCCCAGCAACTACTTTAGCTATGGAGTAGCATGTTCTGAAGTTGAGATTGACTGTTTAACTGGTGACCACAAGGTATACACACCCAGATTATTACCTATGGAAGTTTCCCTTGAATTTACTTGACACATAGCAACCAGGCTCCAGCAGTTTGTGTCCGTTGGGTGACATATTACTACTAGCAATACCATTGAAGATTTTTGGTTCAGTGCAAATAGTGGGGTTGATATACTGAAACTGGAGAGTGCAAATCTGGTGCAGCTGTGCATGGTAGCCTATCAGCTTCTAAGGGCTCGTTCACACTTGGCTGTTTTACCAACACTTGCCAAACGCCCCTATAGCGTTTGGCAAGCGTTGGTCCGGCGTTTGCGGAGCGTTTTTTAACGCTCGGCAAACGCCGCATGCACGGTTTAGCAGTGGTTGCTAGGCGTTTGCCGAGCGTTAATAACGCCCCACAAACGCCTATAATGCAGTTTGAGTGGTGTTACTGCTCCGCAAACGCCCCGCAACCGCGTCGCAACCGCACTGCAAACGCCAGCTGGGCGTTTGCGGAGTGGCACCATAGATGAGAATAGGAGGCTTCAACGCCTCCTGACTCGACCAGAGGCGTCCATTTTGCCGTGACGCAACGCGACGCAAACGCTCCCGTTAGAATGGCACCATGTGCTGTAATGTGCAGAATTGGTAGAGGCGTTTGGGAAGCAGTAAAAAAGCTTCCCAAACGCCTCTCTGCCGCCTGCACACAACGCTAGTGTGAATGTAGCCTTACTTCAGCCTGTTCAATTAAGTTTTGATGAAAAAAACAAAAAACAAATCTGGAGGCTGATTGGTTTCTATGCAAAGCTGCACCTGATTTTGCACTCTCTAGTTTTAGTAAATTAACTCCAGTGCCTCTATCTCTTTCTCTCACTCAACAACTGTAGAGATAAGGTGTTAGCTACTCAGGTTTTCCAGCAGTGCGGGGATGACCAGGCAAAGAGGAACAGTATAGAGTAAACCAGGGGCGGACTGACAACTCATGGGGCCCCCGGGCAATAGGGGATCATGGGGCCCCTGTGTCCTTGCCCAAACTCAAAAAAGCCTATGAAAAAGGTACCAGGGGCATCTCATGGGGCCCCCTACTGACCCCGGGCCCTCGGGCAGTGCCCGAGTTTCTAAATGGTCAGTCAGCCCTGGAGTAAACAATGCACAGCATTTCTAACAACAAAGCAGAAACTGCATATGTAACTAGTAAACATGGTACATATATAATTACAAACTATACAAAAAAGGGTTTTAAAACATTAACTCCCATTAATAAGGTTAAACCCTAACTCCATGTTTCAGGCTCCCCCCTTAACCCCGGTGTCCTAGTGGCCCTCCCTCTTCAACATTCTTCCAGTTGTGTTGAATCTATGACATGCTGGCCCCTCTTCTGTTCTGAAGAAGTGGTGGGTGATCCTCAATGATACACGGTCTCTGTGTGGAGGTGACCATCTTAGTAGAGACAGGGTTCGCTTCCTTATGCAGATATACAGCTATGAAGCTATAGAACAGGAGTGCCTAGGCACACTAATATACCAGGAAGTACAATACTATTTTTCAGGAGAAATTCAAGACAAAAGGTAGATGTTTCCAGGCACAGCTTAGGCACAATTACCAATTCTAGGTGTTCCTTTTATATATATATATATATAAAAAAAAAAAATCTTCACTTTTTGAGTTCAGGTCCACTTTAATATTCCAATATTTTTACAGAACCTGCGCACAGATATAGTAATGGATGTTGGCACCAGTCTTAACCCTGCAATAGATGTAGGACAGGTGAGTAACTCTGAACTGCTATCCCTACAACCAAACCTACCTGTTCACTATGGTGGCACCAGAATGGAAGTTTTATATATGCCCACACAGGTTGAAGGAGCTTTTGTACAAGGCCTTGGCCTGTTCACCTTGGAAGAGCTGAAGTATTCTCCGACGGCAACCTATATACACGAGGCCCCGGGATGTACAAAATTCCAGCTTTTGGTGACATCCCTGCAGAATTCAATGTATCCCTTCTGCGTAACTGTCCAAACAACAAAGCTATCTACTCATCCAAGGTATGATATGTTTTGGAGAATCATGAACCTTTAAATTAATGTCTCTGATGTGGGAACTGGTAATGTAATGCAGTGAGGCAAGGTACTTACTCTGAAAATAACAAATCTTTCTTTTATTTATCCTGCATAGACATTTTCCTTAACATATTTTAAAGAACATTGAATGAGATCAGTCACTGCCCAATGCAAATATGGTAAAAAGATAGACTTCATGTGGACATGGAGTGGAATGTCATCCACGATACCAGAATTGCAAGGCTAAATAGTCAACCAATTTAACAGTGTACTTTTTAGCTTTACTCATTAACAAGTCATTGAAGGTTTTCCATTTCAAATGATGCTGCTGCCTTGGAAGAAACTATACAGGAACATAGTGTACAAAGCAACAGTCATAAAATTGAAATAGATATGTAAACATGTTAGCAAGGATTATTTATTTAGATTTATTTAGAGGTGTTTTTCACAGTAAACTGGTGCCAGGTCATGGAACCATTGTCTCAGTATTGCCATCATAGGGGTTGATTTACTAAAGGCAAATAGACTGTGCACGTTCAAAAGTGCAGTTGCACTCTGCAAGTGCTGTTTCTCCAGAGCTTAGTAAATAAGATAAAGCTTCACTTTGCAAAGAATACCCAATCACATGCAAGGAAAAAAAACAGCCTTTTTGCTTGCACATGGAATGTTGGAAGTCAGCAGAGCTTCTGCTCATTTACTAAGCTCTGGAGCAATTGCTCTTGCAGAGCGCAACTGCACTTTGCAAACTGCACAGTCTGTTTGCCTTTAGTAAATCAATCCCATAGTCTCTGATCTTCAGGGAACATTCAGGCAGATGGTATCTGCCCAGCAGACCTTAATACCCCATGTAAACACCATGGGGTTTATTTACTAAAGCTGGAGAGTCCAAAATCAGACTCACTTCTGCATAGAAACCAATCAGCTTCCAGGTTTCATTGCCAAAGCTTCATTGAACAAGCTGAGGTTAGAAGCTGATTGGTTTCTATGCAGAAGGGAGTCTGATTTTGGACTCTCCAGCTTTAGTAAATAAACCCCCATGTGACCAATGATGAGGCATTGCTCATGTGACCAGGACACATGGGATGCAGAATTTTCTCCATAAAAGGAAAAGATACAACACTGAAAATGTATTCTTTAGGTCTGCTTTAATGACATCCTATTAACGGAATTGTATTTATTTGTGCACATTCCAGGCTGTTGGGGAGCCTCCTCTTTTCTTGTCAGCCTCCACATTCTACGCCATTAAGGATGCCATCACATCAGCCAGAACAGAATCTGGCATTACTGGGCCATTTAGACTGGACAGTCCAGCCACTCCGGAGAGAATACGAAATGCCTGTGTGGATCAATTCACGAAACTGGTACGGGAATATTTACAGCTATATACAGTCCAGTAAATGGGAATATGTCAACCTGGTAGTAGATTCCTTCACTGCCTGAGCTCATTATCTTTATGGCTCTACTGTAGGCCATTTAACTCATCATTGCCAATGTATGGGGTTTTAAAAATAGCTGTACTATATCATTCAACACAAAATGCTAAACAATTAATTCCATTTGTTTCAGTTTAAAGGATAAGTTCACCCATATTCAGGGTGTAACATGTTACCGATCTGACCGACCCCCCCCCAATCCCCACTGTGATAGCTAGTGGGGGATCTTCTTCTCCCTGCTAGTTGTCACAATTTTAAAAAACTCCACCAAACTTTACACTTGGCACAATGCAGTCAGGCAAGTACCGTTCTTCTGACACAAACCCAGACACGTCCATCGGATTGCCAGACAGAGAAGCATGATTTGTCACTCTAGAGTCCAGCCACTTCATTAATTAATAATGATGCTATGGAGGTGGGATGGGACAAGACTCTTTCATTATAATGTTAAGGAAGGGTCTGGGGAACTATGTTTACCATGATAACCGTGGCTGTACTGTTCTGGTACATCTCATAATCAGTTGTAAACTAGAGGTGTACACTGTCCCAACAAAGGGTTAAAGATTTGGGGTACATTGTAATGTATATAATGCACCTAAAAAATATCTCGCAGTCTTCCCCTTGAAGCGGAGTTCCAGCCATTTTAGTGTTTATTAAAAGTCAGCAGCTACAAAAACTGTAGCTGCTGACTTTTAGTAAACTTACACTTACCTGTCCCGGAGTCCAGCGATGTTCTCACCCGTGCCGTCCCTTCTCCTCTTCTCTCTGCCACGGTGCCAGCATCTCAACTGTGGGCACCCGGCTGTGACAGCTTGCATTTGGCTTTACAGCCAGGTGCCCACTGTGCATGTGTGAGTCGTGCTGCGCCTCCTAATTGGTCCGGCAGTCTTCTTGGACCTGTGAAAGGTCCCAGGAGACTGCGGGATGGAGGAGGGGGCCGAACATCCGACTCACTTCGCCATAGTGAACTGAGCCGGAAGTGGGAGCGGGGACCTGTCAAAAACAGGTATCTGCTCCCCCCCAAAAGGTGGCAAATATGGCAGTGAAGGGGGGAAGGAGACAAACAAGTGGAGCTTCCACTATATAGTGAAACTCCGCTTTAAATGCACATTGCAAGCTATTCTAAACAAAGTAAATACAAGCTGTGTATAAACCTGCTTCAAAAAGCAACTTAGGCCCCTTTCACACTGATGTTCCTATCAGGTCCGCCTGTCAGTTTTTCAGGTGGACCCGATTGGACCATCCACAGCTCTCTATGGAGCAGCGGGTGTCTGTATCTGCTGCCACCTCATCCGTTTAAAACTGAACACATATTAATTACACAGGTTCTGTGGCTGATTATGGTGGTAATTAAACTCACCTAGTGCCTTGTCTGCATTCAATTATTCTCAGAATCTGTGTAATTAATATGTATTCAGTTTTAAAGGGATGAAATGGCAACTCTACACTTGCTGGTATCGGATCTGATCCTGTATGGTAAAAACAGATGAATGGGAATCCGCAGACAGACGGTCCATTTCCATCTGCCCACCCCATAGAGAACAGCAGGCTGTGTCCTTGTCTGCTCTGCAGCAGTGGAGAGGATACAGTCATCCGCTGGATCAGTGGAGAGATCCCATGCTGAGCATGTGGATCCGCTGACTGGGCCACCCCCTCTGAAAGGGGCCTAACATGGTAAGAAATATGTTTTGTGTGAATGGGAACCTCTAACAAACACATGCTGGTGGCTTAAATGGCTTCTGTCTAAATTGGTCAGAGTATTTGTATGTAAGCTGCTTGAGGTTAAGGACCGATGTGAATGTACAATATGTAAAGAGCAGGGTAAAATTATATTATTTATTTATTTCAGGTACTTATATATCAGTTTACGCAGTGCTTTACATACATACATTGTACATTCACATCAGTCCCTAACCCTCAAGGAGCGTACAATCTAATGTCCCTAACTCACATTCATACATACACATACTGTGGACAATTTAGACAGGATTCAATTCACCTACCAACATGTCTTTGGAGTGTGGGAGAAAACCCACGCAGGCACAGGGAGAATATGCAAACTCCAGGCAGGTGGTGCCGTGGTTGGGATTCAAACCAACGACCCTGGTACTGCCAGGCGGAAGTGCTAACCATTTAGCCACTGTGCTGCCCATATATATATAAAAACAAATATAGAAACGTGCAGCGCTAATATTGATCTATGTGAACAAAACAAATATGTGAACTAATAACCAATATCATAAATAATAAGTCCAAAAGAAAAAAGCGCAATGTTCAGCAACAATGTGTGAATCAATGGTGATCAACGATGTGACATCTGTGAAGGGTACATCTGTGACAATCCTCCACCACTATGCACTCACCAGAAGCAAGAAATAAACAGGCTCTGTACAGAAATCCCTCCAAGAGATGTAACCTTTCCACTGCAGGAAAAAGATATATAGTCAAATGGCATCCACTGCGACTGGGCCTCTATATGCGCATTCCTTGAAATGGACCTCCCTTGCATCAGTCGGCAATCGATCCAAATGTGGCAAATCCTAAAAGGAGCTCACATAACAGAGGTAGTGCATATAAAGACTGATAAAGCTCTGCTTCACTCACAGCCTGACAGTCGCTCTGGGTCGCCATGTGCGGGTGACGTCATCGGAGTGCGACTGTCAGGCTGTGAGTGAAGCAGAGTTCTGAAGTGGTAAAGGCTACATCTCTTGGGGGGATTTCTGTACAGAGCCTGTATATTTTTTGCTTCTGCTGAGTGGTGGAGGATTGTCACAGATGTACCCTTCACAGATGTCACATCGTTGATCACCATTGATTCACACATTATTGCTGGACATTGCACTTTTTTCTTTTGGACTTCATTTATTATTTATAATATTGGTTATTAGTTCACATATTTGTTTTGTTTACATAGATCAATATTAGTGCTGCACCTTTGTATATTTGCTCATGCTTCAGTAAATAGGAGGGTTTGTCACTTTGTGCTAGCTGCTTATTTACAATTTTCTTTGCTCTCACTATATATTTGTTTGACACTTTCATTCATATATATGCACACACACACACAAAAATAATTAAAGAAATATAGTACAATTTTTCAAATTTGACAGCAAAGGTAGAAGTACACTATAAATTGGTTTAGCAGATTGGATATCCTTGGGCTCCCAGGAGGATTATCTTGGACATTGAAATTGCAAATTTTCAAGCTTTGTCAGGTTTTCATCTCTATATTGAGTTGTATGACGCATGTAACATTTAGTGATACAAAAATCGGTATCCAAAATTATATCTATAATAAACTGTGATACAATAAACACCCTGTATATTGACACTTAAGAGTCCCACTTTCACCCTTGAAAGTCCAAAATTGTAAATAATAAACCTTTCTAGTGTCAGTGAAATTATTTTAAAAAAAAAATCCAAAAATTATTCACAGAGTGTTCACAGAGTAGTGTGTATATAGAAGGGTACACAGAGTGCTTCACTATTTCACATGTTTTTCACGTTTTTTTTGTGTGGTTCTGTGTTTGCACAGAAAAAGTTTTTTGGATTAAAATATATTTAAATATTATTTAATCACTGTTATATTGAGGATAATACACTATTCAGTTTTTTTTCCCTTTGGAAGTATACGGCATTCTTGGAGATACACGGTGATTATGGATCAAAACTTGGATGAATAATTTTTGCCGTTTTTTTTTAAAATAATTTCACTGACACCAGAAAGGTTTATTATTTACGTGTATCATTTAAACTCTAAACATTCTGCATTCTGACATAATACAACACCGCTGTCAATCTTGATGTCATAATTGATGAGCACTGGAATTAAATATATTTTATGTGATAGTACAACGCTTATGTTTTATCCTTCAGTGTCCAGTACCAGAAGCGGGAACATTCAAACCATGGTCAGTGAGCGTATAATGGATCGCCTGACTACGAAATGGACTACAGAAATAAACCTGAGGATTCAGCTAATGGAAATCAGCTCTGAAATTTTCTTTCAGTATTTGAGAACATTTTCTGTTATTTAGATGACAGCTATCACACAAGACAAGAAGATTAGATCATATTACAACATTTGGTTTATGTTTTATCTGTGACTAATAAATAATGGAATTTGTATGCTCAATGCTATGAATTGAATGGACCTTTTAGCTATCATTTGTCTCAGCCATCCTCCAGCCCACCAACAGGAGAGGATAGTAGTCTGGTAGTCAAAAAGTAGATTGAGCTTCAGCACAATGATGTTCATGCTGCAAATCGCTCATGCATAGCATGTACAGATTATATTTAAAGAGGAACTTCAACTTCACCCAAATCCTAAAAAGTGAAAAAAGGCATAGTTAAAAAAAATTTATTAAATGTCAATTTATTACATTTCAATTTAATACGTAACTGTTTATTAATGCTTAATAATTGCCAAGTACTGGAACCATACAACACTTCCAAAGGATAAAATCAACGTTATTGTTCAGCACAAGCACAAACACCACCCTGGATGATCCCTCTAATGCACTGCACCCCTACAGTATCTTAATCCTGCTATATGATTAACCCCCAGTAGAGGGCGCAACAAATTAGAGAGAGATTCTTAGGTGGAGAACTCTGCCTGAACAATAATGTTGATTAGAGATGCGCACAATGGAAACATTTGTTTGGTTTCGGATTCATCCATTAAGCTAGTTATTTTTTTTTTAATCATATTTGTTATCTTAGAATGATCCGTTTTTGGAATTCGTTTTGTATATTTGTTTTTTTCAAATCAATTCAAAATCCAAATTTCTATTTTTTTCTATTCTATTCTGTTTTACTCTACTCTATACTTTTATTTTCTATTCTATACTCTCATTTTCTATTCTATTGTACTCTATCCTTTTCCATTCTATTCTATTTTATTCTATTCCTTTATTCCCTATTTTATTCCATTCTATTCTGTTTTATTTTATTTTTTTATATTCTATTCTGTTTTGTCCTGTTCCTTTCTTTTCTTTTCTATTCTAT